TGGATCGCTAGTGTGACATAGTACAGAGGCTTAACACACGGTTATCTTGTCTGACACGCAGGCAACGCCGTCTCGCTGACGGGTTGGTCTGGTTCTGGTTAAGCAATGTGGTAGTACGTGTTAGAGAAACTCTTGAACTACCAAGCTAGGTATGTAGAGTAGTATAATAAGTGTAATAGTTTCTTCAAGTTGAACTACTGCGACCTTCACGTCTCGTCCAGCAAAAACATATTCTATTCTATAGAAATTCAATGGTTTTATGACAACTATGGTTATATGAAGCTGTTAAGGATTACAAATCTGGCTTTTCAAGGCTCTGAAGCGATCCGTACTTGGCGTGTTATTTTTCGTTAGCGCCGTCTGGGTGGGCCATTCAAATTCGGGCAAAGTTGGCGATCTGTTCGTTGTAGCGGGCATGCGTTCACCCGCCATCCTTGGGGTAGAAAAAAACAAGAACTTGACCGAAAATCAACCACCATTCAATTTCCTTGAGCTAGACAGATTTCATCAAGGTTAAAAACTTTATTTTGGCCGATTTAGATGGTCTATGTTATTGCCAGTTTTCATGCGGCTTCCCAAAAAATCCGAGAAGGACTTTCATGAGTCAAACTGATCCTCAATAGGACTTAGACTTTATGAGCTCAAAATGCCATTTTTCGATATACCTAAATTTTTTTATAAAAGATATTCTCAATTGGGTCGTTCATATAAATTTCAACAGCTGGTCTTTTGGGACTTTTGGCTAAATTTTCGGGCCGTTTTGCCAGATCTTTTGGCCAGTTATCAGTCCAAAACGTGATTTGCTTGGAACTTTTTGTATAGGAAATTTTTGGTCTATTTTCAAGATGCTTCGAGACGAGTTTACGTTTATGAGTATCGCTAGACGCGTAATTACTACATGGAAGTTTTATACGACTTAAAGGAGAAGCATTTTACAATTTACTGGGTCCCGAACGGAAGCTGTATTCGTAGCGAATAATGATGCTATCGAACAAATATGATTGTCAGAAATTAGATTCTGGTACATGGAAAGCGTCGTTGAAATGTCTGTCTCTGTTTAAATACTCATAACTCATAGAAAGTGTTAGATTTAAATTCTCCATCCTGTGCTTGTTCATTAACAACCACGATAGGAGTCTCTATTGAAGGCAGTGACAAGATTCGCTATCTAGCACGGTTTCAACATATGAGAAGAGGCAAAAGGTGATGACGACGGCAAAAGTTTGTGCTTTTTACTAAGTAGTTTACTATTCAATGTATTATCGTCGACGGTTCTCAAGTCTCGGATTTTTCCTCACGTTTACCTCTCAAAATCATGCCGGGTACGAAAGGTTGATGTATAGTTATTTACCAGCTTCTTTGAACGGTAATAATAAGCTTACGCGATACCGACAAAGGTGCGCACTCTGCTAAGCCCCCACTGGGATTTCAGAATAGTCCTAATGGCACACGATGCTTAAGTAGATATTGTTCATCTTAGCCGCTCTGCGCGTAAACATTTTTAGAAAATTACATTAGCGTTCAAGCATATCCTCTAGTATGTTTATAAATAGATTACCTTAAACATTTTGTCCTCATCTTATCGTTTATCACAAAATCGATCTGGCAAATTATCTTGGCCTCTAATTGTCAAGAAAAAAAACTCCTCGAGAGCCAATGGTGCCGAGACGATTCCTGGTGGCGCGTGCATATACTACTAGGTTTTTGCTAAACTCATTGAACTCTAGCATGTTATGCTAACGGACTAAAAGGTAGACTAGCGTAATCTTTTTTATACCAGAGGAGCGAAATGATCTAGAGAGAAAAAACAGATTTATAGGTTTTGGATCACAAGTAGCGCATTAGATGTCTTTTATCGCATTGATGTTGGCACGTAAAACAGGCTCCACTATTGCTACTGTTATTGAGATTACAACCACGCAAATAAATAATCAGGCCAGTTCTGTACACGCTATTGACTTGATTTGTTTTACTGCATATGTATGATAACTAATATGTGGTAGAAAACGCAAAGATTTTTGAGCAGTCAAGATTCTTCGCTAGTTTTCCCTCAAGTAGTTACATACATATATAGTGCTTTTTTTAGTAATGTACGACTTATTAGTCAGTGGTGTCTACAATGCTCGGTAGTGATGTTGAAGAACGACAAAAAAAATCTTGAAGCGAAGATGTTTGGCTTAGCGTGAAGTGTGAATAAGGCATTTTCACCTACGAAGAGTTTTAATTGCTGTTCTGTGAGGCAATCGTTTTCTGTCCTTCTTCCACGGACAAAATAAAGTTTTATTTACTTATTGTTAGCGCACATTTTCCAGCTTACTTCTATCAGGTTTGTTTCTGTACTGTCTTACTCACAACGGTAGATGACCCTGAGGCTTCTTCGGCAATAGCGGAACGACAAACGCAGATATAAAAAAACGAATCACTGACTTCTGCTGCTGCTGCTCGTACTATGCCTCCAACTGCCGTTGGCATCGTTGTAGTGATCGGCACAAGATCTCATCGTCTGTAAAAGAAATAGGAAAGCCCAGATTCAATAATTTTCTATCCTGACTATTCAGTGTAACAAAGGCCCAAATGGAAAGACGCATCAAATAGTAAACGGCTAGGCGTTAGTCAAATTTACCAAATGGATTGAAATTAATCTACTTCATCGCTTGCAGCTAGTAGATGCTTAAACCAATGATGAAGCGGTACGCGACATAACCAGATATCAACAGTATTGTATTACAATATTCAAACAACTATCTAGTTTCGCTAGAAATATACATCTAACTCTGTTAAAACGTCGATTTTATGAAAAAAAAAACGAAACAGTACTACGAAATCCATATACGCATCTTATTTACAATGAGAGGTTTTCAATTTTTATTTTTACTAAAAAATAATGCATCTATCGTCTCGATAACATAATATTTTACGCCATAAACATTACACAAGTAACCACTCCTAAATAGTCTTGTAAAACTTGTATCAATTGCATCACGTATGTATGTAATGTATTCTTCTACCCGCACCTAGTCAACTGTCTCGACTTTATCCTTGCCTGCCAGGAGGCCGTGGCAGGACATGCGCAATCGGTGGTTCAGGATTTCGCAGGTAAAGTACTATCGACCCAATGGATCCCGATTGACCCGAACAAAACTGAGTATCTCCGAAGAAGATGAGAATTAGATTGTCTTCGCTCAGTTTGACGAACGGTATATCATAGAATAAGGGCAAACTTCCGCCTAGCAAGCGAGCTAAGGGCGGGCTTTTGCAGCCGACCTTTTTAAATATATTTTTCTGCCTTACGCTTAGCAAGTCGTGGTTCCAACGGGCCAACTAATAGCAGAACGTTTTGCCATAACTGTTTTACATAGTACCTAATCGTACAGGGAATTCCTAGAGTGAGAAGAAGATACGGCATGAACGTCGAACATACTGTCTTGCGCCTACAATTCCGCACTACTCAGATATTACGCTTGTATATCAGAACCTGGCAAAACAAGACGAAGACTTGTGAAGAATAAATTTTTGATAGAGTCTTTCGCCGATGCAATCCAAAATATCAAAAGGGTACTGCTCGTACTCTTCTGAGACCCTTCGATGTGGCAGGCCGCCTACACAGCTTGATGTCGTAGATAATCGTCGCTTGTATTAATTACCTACCTTATGTTTGGATGCCGTCCTTGTCCGTGATTAATTATAACAAAATTAGCCAGTTAGAAAGATTACGCGACCAGATCGTTAATCTTGAAATCTGCATATTGAACCATTGCACAGATGCTATTTACCGGCATTCATCGAATGATATAATTCTGACCTGGCCAAGGCCATCTCGTTACCTTAATGGTTTGCAAAAAGGTTTCTAATGAACTAGAATAAGGCCGCTGAAGAACCTCGATTTACTCACAGCAGGCAGGGATATCAAACGTAGATCACTTTTACACCGTCCATAATTAGAGACAGCAAACGAGGGAACACTTTCGTACACCTTTACCTGTCAAGAGTGAACTAAATCAGATGTTTGCGCTAGAATTGCCGTCAGTGTTAGAATATTATACCATGCGAAAATATCAGGTGTGGGGTAACTTCTCGTCAGGTATGCAGAATCAATGGCTTCTACACTCGTGCTGTTCTGAAGCCGAGCAGCATGTACATACTTATGAGTTTCACGAAAGCTAGTTTCTATTGACGCACGTATCGTTTCTCTAATTTTTTTTGCAATAATGAACACTAAGAAGGCATGAATATAGTTCAATTATCATGAAACCTTTAAGCTGGCCACGGTACGATGCTCCATGCAAAAGTCCAAGCGAGCATGTAGACCACTGGCTGTGTCAGACAATTGAATGCGGCGTCTGCGAAACACCTTTATTAGTAGAGCTCTTTTGAGATCATTAGTATACACTGATGAACCGATCTGATTAAATAATTTTCTTCGTGCACCGATTTTTCGAATGAAAACATCTGAGCCAACACCATTTGCAGTATAAAATGAAAAAGGAACTGTCCTATTTTTTAACATGCTAATTATCATCTTAATAAAATGGTGAAACTTCACGGGCTATCTAAAGACGAAACAAGACAATTATAATGTGTGGGCTATCGTAAGCATCAACTGTACACATAGCAACGGCTGTGACCTAAATACCCATAAACACGCCGCAGCTCCAGATGTTTGTAAATTACGGGTACGTTTATTTCATTTATTTCGTATCCGCCTATCTGCGAGGTTAAAACCTGAATTTGCCATTTTTGAATCTGATTCGTGAGCGGAAGTGGCGCTAAAGTTCGAGCAAATAGAGTGTTTTTCTTACATAAAATTCGACCAAGTAACTTTGTAGTCACGGCGCATTTCAGTCTATGATCGAATAGGTCGAATAAAAGCTGTTGTATATGGCCCAAACTAGCTCTCAAGCGGAGACGAATTGGAATATACGCCATATTAGTACTGACCGTAGCTGACGAACTGGGCTTCGCAAGCAAAAATGATATAACTTTTAATTGTTAACTTTCAGTATGGATTCTTCTGTTCAGCTCTTGAGGAGTTTATCGTTGAGAAACATGGACGCGATGCGTGGATTAAAATTTTGTAAGTATTTTTGATAATTTGCGTTTATCCTTATTTGTATAACACAGCCACATTTAAAATAAAGCCTAAAAACGTATTCTGCTCCGAACCAGTTGTTCGTTTTAAAGGTCGTAACGGAACTGTCCACGAGCAATGAAAAATTGCCCTTCGGGGCGGATCCTTGAAACCTTTCACAGGGAAATACATCACCTCCCTTAGATCTTGATACGGCAACAAATCATGAAATTTCTTGTCTGACTACTACCAGTAAGTTTCATTGTTGACTTTCGATAAATTAGAACGCAATGTAGCCATTAATGTATCAAATTTGAGCGGATCTTACACTTGTCTAGAGTGGTAAATGTACGATGGGCCAGCGAACAGAATAATTCAGTTTCAAACAACAACTTGTATGGCTTGCGTTCTCCTTGTTCTTCCTGGCGCAGCGTTCTCTCGCCAGAACTAGGAACATAGTCTTCTACTGTGTCCAAAACGACCGATTACAATACAGTTGAAAGGGAGTTGGCCTGAAGCACGTAGATTTTGTACACTTTTCGTGTACTTCGATTCCACTGTCGTGACGTCGTAGAGTTCTCTCGCCGAACTTTTTCCTAAACAAAAAGTTAACGCCAGGTTAACCCAAGCTTCTAGTTGAAGATGCTCTATTCGGGCGCCCCGAAGAGCACGGCCAAGCGGGAAAGTTCTACTCCATAAAAATACAATTTATGACCAACGACTAAATAGCATGCAATCCAATAGGATGAGATAGTTTGTTGTATTCAAATGAAATTCACAATTTAAGGCTTGGAACTCGGACCGGATGCGGGGTGGTGTGGGGGGGATGGAAGTTTGTCTTTCATCTCTGAATTGTGCAGAAAGCGGCTCTAAACCTCATTGCGGTTCGTCCGTAAATCTAGCCTGCCTCCAGTCGCGCGCATTCCAACAGCAATCCCTCTCCGATCTGCAGTGTGTCGGAAGTTCAATATCATTACAGCGATCAGTACTACGATTACCGTTACTAGATGCCAAAGCAAAGATACTGACCTTCTGCAAAAGGACGTAAAAAACGCAAAAATGAACACTAGCAACCACTGGGTAATATACATACATAGCACATTTCGCTTGACAATCAGATAAATATAGCCTGATTATAAAAATATATAATCTGAACATTATAGTCATGTAGTCATATATTAATCTTTTGTTAAATATACAATAGGCACGTTTCAAAGTAGCACGACGCGCTTTCCATAATAGAATTAAGAATGTTATAGGGATATGATCTGTTGGTCGCGCTGCCCTTGACATTGTTTTTATGACAACGCAGCCAAACTTAGTTTGAATAGGAAAGCGTCAACTTAAAAAAAAAGTTACAATTTTCTTAAATAGACCTTTATAAATACAACATGTCAGACAGCTTTTTCAAATCTCTGATGTTTTTCGGCTAATCTGCATAGCGCGCACAAATTTTAGTTTTTCAGTAAAGTTCGTAGAAACATACTTCGGGCATACTTGAACAACTTACCCCGCTACAGATTTTTCAGTACCGTTAAAAGCTTTGGTTCAACTCGGAGTAACTGACTGGTAACCAAACAGAAAATAAGCGTCAAGGGGATGATCTAAAGACACGTTTAGGGATAGTTGCGGCAACTTATTCTTTTAGATCCCTATAGTTCTACAAGTACGTGTCCTTGGGTTATATGATTGAGTACAACTTTATAGCGCTATTATCACACATTCTATTAAACTATTATTACAAAATCTCATTTGTATATCCGCGGAAAATTTTCCGAGCAGTCATATTGTCTTTCCTCCGTTCACATGTTTGTTCTCTATCTGCACAAGCAGTAGCTGTTCGCCTTGCATATATCGGCAGCTGCCTGGCTTGATAAGCGGAACACTATATATATAAAGGATTGTCAGCTTGTTGACTGGATTCGAAGGGAGAGGCGTGCATCGATTCACCACTTTTGTGTGATGGCCTGTAAATAGGTTTTTCTGCGAAAATAATCTCCTCACTTAACTTACCCCGTTCTTCTATCGACGACGGCAGCTGTCACAGACCAACGTAGTTCCGTTCATGAATGATAAAGTGCATCACAGAACGTATCGCAGAAGATCGCTAATGTGAAAAGAGCAGCAAATCTGAACACCTTGATTTGTAAACCTATTTGCTTGTCCTAGCAATAAGACTCATACAAGGTGGTCCTATAACACTTCCCTTGTATTCGGCAAAATTCATGAATATCCATCCATTCGCAGTGAAGTTCTATCGAACTAGATCTAAATACCTGAGCCCGAGCGTGAATCAATTATACACACTTATTCTTGCAAACTATTTTTTAGTGAACGACGCTTTGACGGTGATAAATATCAACAGCGTGTTCCTCTCTTCGCATTGACGGCTGCATTATGTCGTTTAAATTTCAATACTATTCTGTAAATTTAAAATCTAAATATTGTTTCAAAAAATATCCTACAAAGGTACGGTGCAAGGAATAATTTGGCCTCGTTATCCTTAGCACCGTTAACGGGCTTAGCACGAACAGTTCTTATGAGCCCTTCTGGATATACTGTGTAGAAAACCATTGTTTATAAGTAGAATTTGAGTTATTTTCCTTGGACTAAATAATAGTCGCTTCGCAAACTGGTTGGCTAATGTAAAAAAAATGGCTTTCGACATTTGCTCGTTTGATTTAAGAGTTTGTGAAACTCGTCGACAAAATAGATTATGGCCTCGTCCTGCTCATCCCTGTGCCCACTATTGCCTTATGGATGCTGATTTTGTTGTATTGAGAATGCTGGTTCTCTGCCAGCGTTATCAGAGACATTTGCGATTCTTACGGATACGAATCGCGTAGAAGCGAAAGCAGAAAGAAAATAAAGTTCGTTTCTTTTTGTATGAGGCAGTGGTAGAGAACACGAGCAAAAAGGGGCAAACGCTAAGGGCCCGTCAAAAAGGCCTATTACCGATGCATCCAGTAAATAGTGGCCGGGAAGACATGAAGACAGCTGATGCTTTTCTGCAGTTTTCTCGACCGGAAGAAATCGTGGAAAGGGCTTTATTTCTTGAGGATATCGGGCCGAGGATGTGAGATAGTAACGGAATTTTGATGGTTCAGCAAATAGATGTTCGTCTCGACAACATCAATGGATTCAGATCTAGATAATAATCCCTTGTGATAGCTTTGTGGGTAACGTATTTGGCTGCTAATTTTAAAAACGCGTAGCGGTATGGGTTCGAACCCGGGCATAGAGACACGTCGTGAAAACCAGCCGTTTAATGGAATACCTAACGGAGATACCGGACGTAAAACTCGAAACATAGAGATCTTCATAATGATAGCTGCCTCATACGCCATGAAGCAGGCTCCGCGATCAAAGAACGACTGCCATCTTCAAAGCGAATGTGGCTAAGCATGTGACGATAGATGCAGCGTTGAGTGTTATTGCCATTGCTGTTTCACGAACGGCGATGCAACGCGACTGCGAAGCGTAGTACAAACTAGAAAAAAAAAACGTACATATTTGAAAGGACCAGGACATGTTGGAACGTAACCTTTAAAAACAAAACTCGTGTTTTTCTTCAAGTAACTTCAATATGCACGAGGTATGTATGGTAATTAATGGGAAGACTAGGCGAATATAAATGGGTATAAATAGTTGTATGACTAAAAGTAAAATAAAACAAGCGCATGTAGAACAAATGTGAGCTAACCTATAGATTTTTTTCCTTTTTTGTATGTCGTATGTGAATCATTGTCAGACGGAAGAGTCACGTAAAGCTGCATGGTGGATCCTTCCTCCTACACAAGCAATATCCCGACGATCTTCTTCTGAAACTCGTGCAATCTGCCGCCGACACAATCGGTATAGGTCGACTAGTGTCAAGTAGAAATGTAGTACAGAAACATTTATTGGTGACACTTTAAACTCCCTGTAATAACAGATCAGCGACCAAAGAAGACAATCCTAAAAAATAGACTGGCAATTTATAGCCCAGTTTTACCCAACTACAAGCATAGTAATGCTATAGAACAAGGTATCTATGGTAAGAATACATGCAGCAATGTCAAAGTGGTTCAGTCAGCTTAGGGTTACAGTACTTTGGCGACAAGTACATTTTTATTACGATAACAATTACCGTTTTTTATTTCAATTACTAGCTGCGTATGAAAAATTTAGCTTATAACCCCCGTGAGCTACGGAACGCTCAGCAGATGAGGTCGTAATACTCAGTAGCGTGAAAACAGAGGGACAGAAAAACAAATATGTGTTCAGCTATTCAGATATTAGACCGGGTCGCTTGGATTTTTACGTTGGTAAAATGGAATACCAGATTTCGTGTCAAGTCTATTATCTCATAATGTTTGATGTAGATTTGACACACTGAGCCTATTTCGTCTATTAGATCTTGATAAGATTTAGTAAATAGTATATATTTAGTTGAATAGTAGTTGAAAATTACATTGTCATAATCGGAACAGCGTTATAAACATTTTCAACGGCGTGTAATCAGGAACTTCACGTGGATTAACTGCTAAAGCACGTAATATTCGTGACCTCCATTTGACAAATACCTAACTTAATTTTTTAATCTGTTTACAAAAATTTAATTTAGTCTTATCAAACTCAGTAGCTTAAAAATAAATACTTTTAAAAATACTTCTTCTCGTCTTTAATTTTTAGTGAAAATATATACCAGTCATCTTTCACCAGTTGGAGGTAAACATAAAATGATACGTAGCCCTATAATATATTACAATGATCAGGAACTTGAAGTGATTTAACATGCATATATATATATATAACTTAAACCGAAGAGCATAGCGTGCTTTAACATTCATACAATTGCTGATCATCAAGTCAGGTGGCCTTAACGTTTCATAATAGATCACTGCTGCTATGTTGTAGTACATATTGTTCTTTAGATCTCGGTAGACCTTTTAGTCTAGGTGGCATTTAAAACGGGTGTGAGGCTAAAGCTGTCAAAAGCAAAACAACTTCCTGAGGCTTTCAGTGCTATTAGCTAAACTGAGACAGACACTTACGACGTAGAATAAACATTCAGTTGTTGACAACTGGAAAGCTATCACCATGAAAAATCATGGTAAGGGTTACGTTTGGACATAAAAACCTGTAGCCTACTTTCATCATCCTAGATTTTATCTCTTCAACCAAAAGCGAGCTTTGACGCGGTCAGAACTAAACGAAACTTCTTCCGAAACCCTTTTTATGCCTTGAGCCTTATTTTAAGTCGACTTTATAGATTTACTAAGTTTAAATGCTACTTTACAAGAGATATACTAACTGTACACATGCAATTAATATGGCCTACCCATGATCGTAATATTTGACCACTCAATTACACATGCTTTTCGTTATAGGCAATCAGTTGCTTTGCATAGGACCAATCGATCGTTGCGTTCAAAAATAGCTATATGTCGCTTTTTTTGCATGCTGTTTGTTACAGGTTTAAGCCCCGACGATGTGTTAGAAGAGCTGGGCTCCCATTTCCTCAGCTATTGTTTGGCGCGAGGCTACGACAAAATGCTTCGCGTATTGGGGTCCAACCTCTCGGACTTCTTAAGTAATCTGGATAACCTCCACGACCATGTAACGGTGTCCTATTGCAACATGAAGGCGCCAAGTTTCCGCGTCACGCCGGGGCCAAACGGTTCCATTCATCTCCACTATTATTCGACACGAAAGGGCCTGCAGGGTATCGTGCGTGGACTAGTTAAAACGGTAGCGCGTGATTTGTTCGAAACTGACGTCAGTATAGGGATTTGTCGGGTGCTCGAACAGGCTGGTGAGAGGTACCACTTCCTCATGGAAATCTCAGATAACTCCCTCCTCAAGGTAAGCGATCGAACTCATTGTTATATGTCCACCACTTCACTGGTGTTGACATTTTCTGAGTCTAATGGCGTTCTGCGGGATTACTGTAGAGTGCATAAAGTCAGAATAATGTAAAAATAAACTTATAAGAGAGATAAATATGAGTCTTAAAGGGAAACGTTTGTTTGCTTTGGTGCCTCATTCGCATGTATACTTCCACCCCGCCCTGTATACTTCAACAAACCCATGTCGTACGTTCTATATTCGAACGCTTTTCATCCTGAACCAAGAATTATTCAACGAGATAAAATCGAACCTCTATTCGTAGAGAAAAGAGAAAGAAGACGAAAGGACCTGGCGTGTTTAGCAAATTCTCTTTGACACTTGTGTACGCAGCCAAAAGGGGCATAAAAAGGTATCGGAAAAAGAAGACATGCTAACTTTGCTCAAGCTGCAGTCACCAAAAGGCCCAAAATATAGATCTATGTTCACCTTCTCTTTAGCGTTTCCCTCGTCTAGCTTTGCGGTGCGCCTCTGTTTTACGAGACAAAAGACAGGGTACTCACTTTCTCTTGAGATCTTTAAATGATTTAGTTGCATAACGACAACATATATATACACTTGTTGGCCATGCGAAGACACAAGAAATCAGTGCTTTTACCGGCTTGCTACGGTATCGTCCTACGCAATTGAGAAATACGTAAGAAAACGCATTAGACTTCTATAGGGCCCGGTAGACCAGGGCAATATGTGAGCAGAGTATCTGATACGGTAGATATGCTTGCTTAGGTGAACAGGCTGTACCTTATCACCATCTGTGTAGGGCACATAAAAGCAAGTAACGGTGCCTTGATCTTCGTGACACGTAGCGTCGACGTGAGGTTATTCCCTGGCAATAAGGAATTAATGGACGCAGGAATAGAATCGCGAGCCAAGTGTTTGATAACGCCTGACGTAGAACAATGGCAAAGAAAGCGCATAGAAAAAATTGCGGGCTGAATACAAAAATGAGGCGAGCTGGAACGGTCAGTCAAATCTGTGCAGTTCTTCAGAAAATTTTCAGATATGAACCGTAAAACACAATAGATGTCTGCTTTAGTCACCTAGATACTTTCTGCGAACTCTATTTGAGCACATTCGTCAGGCGGAGTGGCAGAGTCCCCCAAAACTCTTATAGTCTTGAGTACTTAGATATTTACGGAAAAAAAACTTGCGGATGCATTTACTTTTAGCAAAATGGATGGCTTTCTATGTGTCAGACTGAAAAGTGATATATCTTGAGGCGCTAAAAATAGGTTTCGATAGTGGTTAAAAGTAATTTTTATAAAACTTGGGATTGCTATATTAGTCATGAGATATGGAAAGACCCCTTTCAATCGATCGAATGTACGTTCTGTGCATTAATCAACATTTCACTCTTCCCTTTTTAAAAGGAACTCGTAGTTATAAAAATCTCTCTATTTATTTAGAAAATTCCTGGAGCTTGTGGATGAAATAAGCTCTAGATGATTGGATTCCGGCAACTAAACTGCGTAATTAGCTTCTTGTAAAGATGTATCAGACGATGTTTGAGTTCGTATCCAGTCAAAATAGATTTTTCTTGATAAAAATGTTTACGGTATTTTAAAGTATAGCGATGAATACTGAGCTTGCTATTTCTATTTCAAGAATCGGCGCCGGCGACCTACAGCTAGGCCTGACAGCGGATTTCGTAATCCTTCGATTAGGAGACACCGATGGGCAAGACAGGCTATGTACAGATACTTAATGCGAAAAGAGACTTTGTCCCAGTCAATTAATGGGTAATACGATGATGATCGGGATTAATTAATCGGGAACCAGAGTACCAGTCAATAGAGGACGTACATTCATTATCTTCGCAGTAGGCAATGCGAATAATATTAAAAATACCAATATCGTATAAAACACCAATGATGAGCTGTTAGAAAATAGATAGGCCAGCTAAAAAATCCAGTAAGTTGAAAAGCGACAGATTGTTTTACCGCTTTTAAGAAGCTTCAGCAGGTGATACGTACAGCCGTACATGCGCAATCACTCAATTATATGAAAGCTATACAATCATTATATTTGCTTGGGTAATGCAAAGGTACCAGATAAAGTGTGATCGAGGCTTTCATAAGCCTTACCTATTAACATAAGTCTATTTATTAAGTTTGTCTGCCAGCTAGTTAGTATCATAGTTGGCTCGTGATAGTTGGCCAGCAAGGCCTAATTTCCAAGTAGAGCAGCAGCAGAAAAGGATTGCCGTCTTCGTAGAAACTGATGCCTGTTTATATGGGCCCATTTTACTTCTACCTTTATTGTTTATCCTTCTTCGTATGAAACTTTGAGCGGTGGATGTCATAAGCTTGGGTAGGTCAACATGTTGCAGGTTGCAACTCCTGACGGCGTGCGCCGCGGAAGTGGAGGAAGTAGCTGTGGAAATAGGAGTAAGCGATCGTCGTTCGCCTCTGCACATATCACCGACCACCTCAGCAAGCAACCCCAGGATCTGTGCATTTCAACACGAACCCTCTGTACAGCACTCCCGTTCCATGCACTTTTTGATAGGTAAGCCGATACGTGCAATAGCAGTAATCGAGTTACTGTGTGACTAAACAATAAAAAAGTTACTTTAAGTAGAGTTGTTACAAAATAATGATGAGAACTGTGTTTTTATATTATTTTTGACATTATCTATATACCTGTGTTTGTGGTCACGTATCTGTTTCATTGTCAATATTTAAAACAGATGAATATGATATCGTGCAGTCGATTATTGTTTTTTATTACAACTAAGTCCAGGTCTAAAAGTGCATGAACATCTACGGTGCAGTTTACTATTGAGGGCTTCTTAAGAAAACCACGAACTATTCCATACCTGGGGAAAAAAGTCTGTTTATTGGGAAATCGTAATTCAATGTTGAAGGGAATGATAATACTGGATGACGAACATCAGACAACACGGTTAATGGACTTAGATAACAGAGAGAAGCAAAACACGTCATCCATAGAAGATAGAGTCGTGGCATTTAGTTATACTCCATCTTTGTGGACTTGCACACAAAAGAAACCGCTCTGGCACAATTGTTTTGGAGAATATGAAGTCAAAAATATCTTAATAGGCCGAACCAGTCTGCCGACGGTACAAGTCGAATTAACGAGTAATTTTATAGTGAAGCTTTTCGTTCCTACTATCCATGCATTTCGTTCACTTTCTATCCTACCGCAATACGGATCGGGGCATATATCCAGGGACCTGATTATATTAGAAGTAGGAGACGCGCTGCGTGCAATGATCCGAAACAGCGTATGGACATCGTCATCACTCGGCGGTCCAGCCTCCGTCAAGCTTACGGACGTATTTCGTATTGCGAGACCCGTATTGGAGGTGAGCTTCGACGCGATCTTAGACTATCTCAACCAGGCATTCGTACTTTTACTCCGCAATGATGCCGCTAATGTGCGGGTAAGTTAAACTAAGCGTGCTCATTAACCCTAGCTGTATATAAAGTTAAAATTAATCCTAATAATTCTGTGCTTATCGCTGTTACTGCGATAGTTGGCTTTGTTGCTTTTACGCATCCAGAATCATCATGCAGACACCGTACTATACAAATTTCTTCAACTATAATTTGACGAGCCCGGTTCGACTAGTGACATTTACAATATTGTAATCGAAAATCATTTGTAGAGCGTTGCATATTAATGGTAATTTAATTATTAATTACTTAATGGTAAATTAATAATAAATTAAGACAATTTTTCAAAACAGTTACATTCAATTGTCGGGAACCGAGAGCAGACTGCGTACTTGACAGCAAATTTCGAAACCAGTTTATAAATAAGGAAAACAAAAAAAAGGTGTTGACATATATTTATCTCGCTAGCGTAGTAGGTACTGCACGGATATTTTCAGAAAGGGATTTTCCTACGCGACCGCCTAAAGCAAGTCTCGGCATTGTTAGTTGGCTAATTAGTGACCAGCTAAACTTTCAGATACTTGTCCCCTCTACTATGGCCGTTTAGAGAGTCCGGACGTATCGACGGGCCTATCCGCCACCCGTGGCGTTTTGCCAGCTCAGTTTCGTTGTTCGGCACCGAGAGAAAAAATTATCTTTTTGGCAGCTGCATTAACATTTAAAGAAGTCTACCCTTGAAATAATCGCTTGGCGAGGGTAACAGTAGCCATCGTAGCATCTGTACCAGTTGTAGACGTAGTTTTTGTTTTTTAGTCAGCGAGGGGGAAAAATTTGGCGTGGTGCAAGTGTTGCGTGCGTTGAGATTCTCTGCATTTGTGCATATGCTGCTACTGGCGTTACACAGACCTATTTACTAGTCACATAGCTGTCTGGCTGTGTTGGGTTTCGAAGGCGACCAGCCGACCCAGCCCAACCACACTACTCCGTATGCATCCCTTTGCCCCCTGCCTGGAGGGCGTAGTGTGGCGAAAAATTCACGCACCATTCATTGCATATGACAACAGTGAGACGCACCTCGGTTCTCAGCTGTCCAGGTAGTTACTGTTGGTGCTTTCAATGTAGTCGATTCATAATTGGAAGGGCGATATTTGTGGTGGGGTTCAGTATTACAGCGCATCTGTCCTCGAGTTTTACGCTTTCTCATCCTCAATCCTTGAGCACTTTTACCTTTATTTTCCCTTAGGCGAACGTTGTCGGGAACGATGCAATGAGCAATCTGAATGAGTCTGTACGCTTCAAGGGCCAGATGATTTCGGTCCCGGAGAGCGACACGTTATTGTTCGTAGGCTCTCCACGTTTTACAGAAATCGAGGATATGGCTCGTACGGGTGTCTACTTTTCTGATTTTCCTGTACACGACGCTTCAAAGGATCTCGTCTTGCTCTCGCATTATCAAAAAGGCGAGCGGGAACTCGTCGAGAAGCTGGACGAAGCTAGCAATCACCTCAAGGTATGAAAGAACTTTCTGATGGAATATATTATAGCTTAGGCAATACCGCTGGACACCGAGCGGTAACGTGTGTTTTAGGCAAAGCTAACGGTACACATTTAAATGAAACAAAAAATTTTAGTAAATTATCCTCAAGAGGTTTGGCTAATAGCCATAACGTTTTTACAAAATGAGATGCCTTCCTCTTGTTTACATCTCTTATCACACACAGATATTGATTGCTCCTAGTACGAAATACCTTTGTTGGTTGCCCTTTATAAGCTTTTATACTTCTGTGTTTCTGTCGGCACAATCATTGCAGGTGCTCGAAGCGAGGTTGCGTGACGATAAAAAAAAGACTGAAGATTTGATCTGCTCGATTTTCCCGGCAAAAGTTGCACACTGCCTCCTAAAGGACCTGCCAGTTGAGGCCGAGCAATTTCCGATGATATCATGCCTTTTTTCCGACATTGTCGGCTTCACAGCGCTTTGCAGCAACGAAAATGTCGTACCTATGGACATCATTCGACTACTCAATCGGCTGTACGTGCAATTCGATGCGCTTACCAACATCCATCAAGTGTACAAGGTGGGTCTTGTCGTTTGAAAGTGCACCGCAGGTGTTATAGCCTGTTCTTATCTGAGGTCGATATTGCAGGCCAGCAGCTAGGTACTTATTACAATGTTACAGAGCCACGCGTAGGGTCCTTTATTGCTTTATGCTAAGCTAGCGACGACGTGAGTTAGACGTGTTCTCCCGCTGTGTCACCAGGCTGTGCTATGTAAGCAATCGTCATGGATTAGAGTGAACTTACCTATATATCTGCGCGTTTATGGATGCATTACATGCACCATCGACGATAAAAACGGGAAAGGCGTTTTTAGCTGGCGAGTGCCGCATCTGTGCTAGTATCGGTTGCAGCGGCTGTCGCTATGTTGATGTTAATGGATCGAACTACCTAGACGAGAGTCGGGAGCGACCGGACGGGTCACCGGCATCGGCGTAGCTTTTTCTGTTTTATAACTGGGTCGGTAGCTGATTTGTCATTTACCGGCTGCGACCGACCCATTGTCGAGCAAGTCCATTGTATAATATCTTCCTCTTGTTCTTCACTTAACGCGCGCAGCTTGCGGGCTTCTCATTTTCGACAGCAACCATGTCCGTGAACTAGCAGGGTATGTATGTACGCCTGTCTATTTTGCATCTGTATTTGTGCACGTTATGGAATAGTGGTTGAAACAGCACGATACTGCACGCTCTACAGCTGGATTTATCTATATCACGGAGGCCAACGACGGTGGCAGCAGGGGCGGTAGTGGCGGATCGAGGGGGTAACATTCTAAGTAGCTTGTTGGGTATATGTCCTCATGCGATCCATATTGCTAAACGCTAACTTCCCCTAATACCCCTTAATTCTGGCCCCGCCGCCACTTTTTTCGAGAATAGCCCTCGAAAAAATTGACTGTCCAAGCGCTTTCGCAACTCGATAAGTTAGTTCGTGAAGCTTTTCAGACGGAGGATGTCGGCAGTGGGCTGGACTAATTGACATTGGGCTGGTTTGCATTAGTCAGGCACTACTGGGGTTCAGCTGCCGCGAGCAACGCTGGAGTATGCTGTTGAAGGAGGCATATTAAACTTTCAGCTACACAGAGATACATACGTAGGTACTCACACCTGTAAGTTGCTTAAACAACCGAAATCGTTGTGGTTCGGTGCTTATTCGGCGTTTCGGATCACGGGAACGTAAGTAATTAAACAAAAAGCAAACAACGATCTACGAATGATAAACTCTTGACAGTTGTCTTTTTTTGTAGATTAAATACAGCTGACACATAGAGAAACATGCAGAGATTAAACATTGATTACGCAATCTGTTAGTAATGGTTACCACCTCATTGGCTACAACCTCTAAGCGAACATCGTTAAAGATCCACCACTTTGTCTTTAATCTATCTGCTGCACAGAGTTAATCTACGAACAAGATAAATTTCAAAACAAACAATCGACACTAATGTCTCGGTCGAGAGATATGCCATGACAAGCCTAGGAATGGGACATTGTACATAACATAAGATTGGCCTTGAAACCATAATGGTATAGTTACATCATCCGACTTTCTTCCCCCATCAAGTGCTAAGTCACTTGGTTTGAGAATCGAAACTCAGAGACCGGAATATAAAACTCTTTTGATACCGTCTGAAACGGAAACCCATGCGGAATGAGTCGAACTCCAATGTTGTATCGAGCTGTGGAGAGGTGAAGTCTTAACTAACCGCTTTATTTGCGGGCAAAAATATGGCCTTTTCTTGACAGGTATTGGGTAAAGAAAGTATATGTCTTGTTACATTATAGACACTAAGAATAGTCGTCGAACTTTCTGCTTTTGTGTTGAATAAAGATTCAGATTAAATGAACGAAATTTAATCTCGACGTCGTTCTTGTCTCAACGAATTTTTTCGTAGATCACATATTCGACGATAAGGAAGGACGCGACATAACAAATAAGGGCTACTTCCATAGCTGCTGTTACTCATAGGCGTCTTTTTTATCGGTAACCTTTCCCTCTTCTCTGTAAGGCAAGTGAAATCTACATTGAGTCCCTTGACGCCTTATATCTAAGTAGATTTAACTGAGGCTAAACTGCATTTCTCATGCAAGAGCTGCCCATGAGGGCATAATTGTCTAGCGAGATTGTCCCTCCAGTAGTGGAATCTTTTTAATATAGGTATATATGTGCCTCAAAGAAATCAAGATGTTTTGGGTTTATCGGTCTCAAGGTGTCCCTATTGTAGCAGCATATATCTTTCACGCTTTTCTATGGCTCCGACCAACTATTGTGATTTCACTCGCAATCAAACTCAAATAGAAATCACCTTCAGCTTCAAATCGAGTCTCACTTGATGCATTGGCACATAGATGGGATTGAGCAAAGCGTCACCAGACTTAAAATACCAAGGCTAAATATATTTAGTCCTACTAACGGGGTAGTTTTCTATCCGCTACTCATTAAAGAAGACAGCTTTCTTAGATCCCAGAGAAGAGAAGTATGTTTTATGTAGCCCTGCCGGTTACCGGTTTATGGGCTAATCTTTTCGGTACTGCTTAATACCTGATAACAACAAATTACAGTCCATTCGGCGTACAAAAACTTTCAGATTCTGACCGGAATATTATTCGGTTAGCCATATAAAGGCTAGATGAGAGGGCGGCAAGTAGTTCCATATGTAGCTGTTTTGGTAGCGTGGGATGCTTAAAGCATAATGTCTACGTTGAACTGAGCCATTAATTACACATTATAATGATTTTTTTAAGCTGAGGTGCCATAGTTATGTTATAATTGAAGTAACAACAAAGAAGCATTTGCGAATAGGCTTTTAATTATTACCTTATCGCAATGGTCACCGGTCATGTGCTTTTACCTGTGCTAACGATTATATTTTAGCGTTTGTATGTACACTTTGAATCAAACTATTAATTTAAAAGTCAATATATTTATTTATTAATTATTAATGAAGCACGCGACGTTTAGAAAGTAGTTAGATGCGAACAAAAAAATTATAATAATTTACATGGCAATAGTGATTTACATGGTAATTCGTCTTAGTTGCCTCATTTCCCCCAGCGTCATAATTGGGGATTTCGTTAATATTATCTTTATATAGGTGGAGACCATCGGAGATGCATACATGGTGGTTTCGAGTGTTCCCGAACCGATGGCGGACCACGCCGACCGGCTAGTGATGCTCGGGCTCGAGATGGTCACTATATCCCGTAAGGTACAATCGCCTGTACCCGGACATAAACTTGAGGTAGGTACAATAATACAGTACACTTATTTACTATCGTTTTTTCCATAATCCTCTCCTTATTTCTTTCATTCCTATTTTTCTCTGTTTCGTACATTTCATTCACATTTAAGTGTAGCCCGATAGGCCGAGCGACCCCCAACCAGATTGGTTAGCATAGAATGAAAGCAGCTAACAAGAAAGCAGCTAACAAGAAAGCAAGCAAGCAGGCAGCTGGTAAGCGGCTCAAACACAGGCGGCTCTCTCGGGTCTGCCCTACGCTAGCCTTTTCTGAGCCTCTACGTTGTCCTTGTGTGCATTGCTTTCTGTGCCCAAACCCTTGCGTTTCCTCAGTACGGATCAAGTTTTGCGTCCACCAGCCATAGCAGGATCGCAGTGGTGGCACAAGTGAAACAGCTCTATGGTTCGTCCCCAGTCTAGAACATTTAAAGGCCGTCTTCGCTGGTTAACGCTCGGTCACCGCAGATAGCGTTACCGTTTTCACCACACAGCTCCCGACGACTATGGTAATGACAATGATGGGGACAAGAAGCGCTATTACGCGCGACCGGCTAGCGACCTCCTCAAGAACGCTCTAATGAAGCTGAGTTTTTGATTCTGCCGGCGAGTGAAAGCGGCAAGTATGGCAGAATCTACGCTGGCAGTGTGATCTCTAAAAGCCATTTGGAGGCGATATGCAAAACGCGCGATTAAGCTTTTGTCACAATAAGGTGAAATGACGATAGTAGTGATGAGTGGAATAGCCGGTGCAGTTCAGTTTGTTGCCGTGGTCAATTTGCTTTCGTTGGCATTCGTTCTTTCGTCCTGAGTTAACATCACTCTCGCTAGAGCTATAGCTGTTGGTGCTTTTATGAGTGCTTCCACACTTGTCTCCCGCATGTCTCCCTCAACCCGCGAACCCCCCAAATCCAATTTTCTTTCTCCCGCGGGGTGACGTGCAAAGACGATTTGGTCCATTCGTTGGTTAGCTACGTCGCTACCGCATGATGGTGTCATGTCGCTGGGGTTGTCAAGGGCAGACAGCGAAGAAGACCCTTGTCGCTCTTTAAGTGTCTCTCTGTTGGTACTCAGCTACGTTACACTGTTTTTTGTTATAGCGCTAACTGCGGCGTTTGCCAGTCACTGTGTGCAACGTGTGTCTCTCACACTGGGTCTGTGGGTCGGCCGGCGTGTATAAATAATGAAAGACAAACTCAAATAAAAGGGATAAAAGGGGCGTATGCAGTAGGCGATTAAGCTGTTCTTAGTTTCATTCTTAACTTTTTCTTACTCAGTCATGATATTTGCCTATCCTCTTTTCTGTCTGTCTGTCTGTCTGTCAGATTCGGGTGGGCATCCATTCCGGGCCAGCAATGGCAGGCATCGTAGGTGCACACATGCCACGTTATTGTCTGTTCGGCCATACGGTAACACTTGCCAACCGAATAGAAGCCCGTAGTCTACCTTCGCACGTCAATGTTAGCGCAGTGACCAAGGAGCTTCTCATGGACCAACAGAGATACTTTTTTCTACGAAACACGAATTGTAACGACCTGGACGTCATCTGCTACTTCGTAACATGTAAGCCATTTCGGTCTGTGAAGGTGAATGCCTTAAACAACTAAAGACAAACAAGTAACGCGCTCTACTCGTGTCCGTAACTTCTAGGTAGAGATACTTTTAGGCTAATGCAATAGACACATAGTTAAGATACGCAGTGCGAAAGGAGAGGTATATCGAGAGCGTATCCGTGGGCAAACACGCTTAAATTTTCACGTTTTTCTATTATTATCATAGGTAATCCATGAACAACTAGTACTCAATGATACGAATTGTCCTAAAAGTGCGGCGGCCATTTGAAGCGCCTCTGTTTTAGCCACGTACTATAAGCTGTATTTTGTCGCGGTTATTCATCCACCCTGAAACACACCGAGTTTCTTAATAGATATGTACGCAAAACAACTGTTGTTCCGTATGCTTTCTGCCGCCTGTTACTTCTGATGCTGCTATTGTTGCTGTTGGCTTACGGGAGATGGAGCATCGTGCCGTTGTTAGTTGGTGCTGACCAACAACTACTCCACAATTCTCGCTTACAGCTCACTGACCAGTTGTCTCTTTCTTCGTTTTCGTTTTGCCTCGATCCGTAGGCACTTCTAGCTGCCGATGGAACGCCGAGGATGAGCAGCTTCCGGTCTCGCTGAACACTGGTGGGGGTCACTTCCGGTCACCATCCAACTCTCCTCCTGCCGCAGCCTCACCCCACTCTACGTCCAGCTCGCTTTCCGATTCACCTCTTGAGGTTCAGCTGGTAGGTTTTTATCGCCACATAGAAAAGTACACATAAATACAGAGGGCCATAGATGGAAGATTCGTATGACTCAGGCACTGTAGAAGCTGGGAGGACTTGGTGTTTATGTGCTACGTTAATAAGAGTAAATTGTTGAAACAGTTAATTATAGCAAACGCAACAGAAGAACAGAACTTTTTCAAAGCGTTTCAATATACATGTCTTGAGCTGAAAACCTACCTGGCCACTGGGAAGCGTAAGCATTTTTGAATGAAGAAAAATTATCGATTGTTGGTACCGATAATCACACAACATTTTAATTATAAAAAAAAATCTAAAGAGCAGCATTTTTCTAGGACACTAAACGGATTTCTAATCTAGACGAAAGTGAAGTTACATTGATCTGCGCCTAATGGTTGAATGACGGCTATAATTGACAGTAACTTAAATAGTAACTAGTAATAACTTCGATTTGAGTAAAAGACATAGCGTTGTCGCTGCTAGCATACAAAATTAAATCAATTTAATACGGTATGTTCATTTCAATACCACAGTCAGGAGAAAGGTTATAGCGACTAGTGTCTGGGTGAGTTGATAATAAGACAGCTAAAACCATAAGTGCTTTGTCGGTCGCGTGTATTTTTACTCGATAAACCCAGTTTTTTTTTCAAACTATCCCATTGATTTTGCAAGAGACGCTAAATGCTTAAGAATAATATAACGCCTAGCATAATAGGATTAAGTACAAAATAAATTAGCATAATGTTTCGATCGTCTGTAACATACAAGAACGTGACTGCGAATAAAACCATGAGTGTCAAAACTCTCGTAGTCTCGTTAAAAGGAAGGAAAGCTAGCTAGTGTTAGGCGACATCTTGTGTGTTATTATTTGTCGTCTCAACTAGTATTCGATGCTGCGTTCAGCGGAACAGCGATTTCCCAGCGCACTCTAATCCTCAGGTGACGATTATAGTCTACAGCCTGCATGGTCTTCGTAGGTATACAGACAAGAGGAGACTGAGTGCGAAACTGAGCGCTCTAGCGAGAATGGATATATTTAGGCTAATTAGCTCTTCCCTTTTTCGTTGCTGGTTGCTCCATGCTTGAATCCTTGATTCGGCCTAAACGCCTCTTGGCGTATCAACTCCTCGATCGACATATGTCCTTGTATTGTCTTGCGGGACAATTCAGGAGGAGATTGAAAACGTCTCGCGCCAGGGGAGCATTCGGCAAATTTTCTGCGCTCGAAAGAAGTTCGACCTCCCTTCAGTGTCTGACATTATCGGGTCAAACAACGAACGCCGTCACGCCCAGGCGGAAATAGATGAACTTCGAAATAATCCCAGGTACATCGAGAATAAAGTAGGAGACAACAAGGACTACATATAGCAGTTATGTCAATGAGTGTCTGTTCTAAATTAATGCAACGGAGTTCGTATGCACATACGCGTAGAGTGCCTGTAATCTCAATCTTGCTAATTACTAACAATATTACTGGTCTCAAAGAAGACTAAATGATGATTCTGTCAGAGGGTAGGAACTAAGCAGAACATTTTTAATTACTATGTCCGAACAAATGCAAACAAGACATTCTCGATGTAGTTTAGCAGATGTTAAAATTAGCTGATGTCAAAAAGTAATATCTAATTTTGTCGTGCGATCAACATGATTGTCGTGCCTATTGTAAGTTCTTTAATCTCTGCCTTATTCTCTAGGGCATCTCCGCTCCGATTAACTGAAGCATGCCAGTCGTCGAATCCGGACCTTCTGAAAATTGTGCCATGTATCATCAGCATCGAGACGGTCCCTAGTCGTCAAGGGTCGCTTGAGGGCGAGTTCGATCCCGTATCCAGGTAGGGTCACCAACTAGAGAACGGTATCTTCAACGGTAATCTATTCAAGGATATGAAAAACAAGGAAACCTCTGAGACGTATTTAAAGGCGCTCACTGTCCTCTATCGCGTTATCTCCAAGAGCTTCTCTTCTCCTGAGGGTTAAGCTTGAGACGACCTGAACTCAGCCTGTCTTCAGCCTGGTTTGCCTGAGTATCAACCTGACAATTCCGCCTAAAACTACTTACTTATCTCCTTGCTGTCTCAGTCACCTATGTTTGGAGTTTAACATCCTGCATCGCCGTTAAGCCTTCCACCAGACGGGTACCTGTCCTGGCTAACCTGTGATTTCCAAATTCGACGGCAACCTGACTGGCGCGAGTCTACTAGTGAAAGTATGAGTCTGACTTAGGCGTCAGCTATAGTTGACAACAGGCTAGACCAGACAATGGTTAGGTTTGCTCTGCCTTTAGAGGTGGTCATTCTTCTGACCACAAAATTCTGTTCACCCTTCTGTTCTTAATATCTGCACCTAAGAGAGCGCACGCACATACCTTAATGTATTAGTAAAATTATACAAAACACCTGAAATCATGAAAGCATTTTGTTATTAATGCAATTAGGCGCAATTGTTTCTGTACACATAAAACTGCACAGTAGTAAAGTTGCATTAAGGAGTATTTATCTGGTAATGGACCATTTCTAGTAATGATCATCACTGGGGTTACGTGTGTAGGAATTGATCTGCCCATATCCATATTTTCTTTCTCACTTACATCCATGGCATGCTCACGATCGATAAAAATCTTTAGGGCTCCTTTTCTCGACATTAGACCGATCCGAAACGAGCCCAAGCAACTGTTTTTACAAACCGCACGACTAAGTTGCTAATTATGTGTAGGGCATGCTAACGGCCATTTTCGTTTACCCATGTGCCTTGACCTTACAGCCCTACGGCCGGTTCTTTGTTGTCCGATATGCGCGACGAGCGCCCGCTATTAGCGACGCCATTCGATGGAAATGGCTGTAGAAGAGAGCGAGGAGGTGGAGATAAAAATGTGCTTCCTCATATATTAGCAACTGAAGCAGCAACAGCGTCACAAGGTTCGAGCGCTATGAGAGAGTTGGGGCCCGTGCTAGAAGCCAGCTTGCTTGCGCCTGGCCCGGGCCCCATGATGTCCCGAGATCTCCCGAAGAAACTGCCGTCCAGTGATCAGCTAAGTGCCTTAGCTTGCGCCGACCCCGCCGTACCGGTTGGCGGTGCCAAAATTAAACCCGTTCGGACTAAAAGCTGCTACGCGTTTGGCTCGAAGAGTGGAGGCGCTGGGGGTAGCGGGGGGCCTGAAGAAGGGTCCGACAGGTCGAACGTAGGCGGGGGTAATCTTTTCCATAACATTAAGGAACGTCTGCTCGACCGCAGCGCCCTCCTAGCCAAATTGTTCCGCAGATAGCGCAAGGTTGGGCCGCGAGCCCCCTCCACCGGCCTCTGCTCCTAATCTAACGTACATCGAGGAGGTAGCAGAGAGGATCCGAGCAAAAGATAGCGGCAGCAGTTAGAATGAGAAAAACTAAAACAAAAGGGGCTCGGAAGGTGGAAGGAACAAAAAAAGGAGGAGATTCGTTATTGTTCTCGAGTCAGTCTCACTCGATATCTCATTGCGTTGCCGGTTAAACAGATTGACTATTCTTGACAACACACACAGATACACCAAATACGCGGCCCTCCCAAATACAGCGACTAATGAAAAACCTGCCCCTGCTGGGTTTGAACCACCGTTCTCCTTCGCCTGCGATTCGTCCCGACCTCACTGTTTCGCGGTTCGTGGCCCGGAGATGAAGTCCCCCTACGTCCAACAGTACTGACCAGGTTAGACCTCCTCTGCGAAAAAGGACGAAACGAGACAGTTACGCAATTTTGGGCTCTCCGCTGAATCCTTTGCTTCTTCTACCCGACCGTCGCGCAACAGTGCACTTTCCCCCATAGAAGTCGATAACGTTCGCATGCATACATAAGACCATGAGTGATCGAAAAAGTGGTATCGGTATGATCCATTGTACACCTTAATAAGTAGCTGTTGTAAGTAGAAAGTAGGCACGTAATGGCAAAAAGACAGCGCCACAGCACTGATGTTAACTAATGTACTACTATGAATAACTTCACACTGATGTGCTTAATGAAAACAGATAATAACAAATAAAGCGACGATTAATGAAGTAGTACACAACGTAAAGTGATGTTTGTTGGTCAATAGTTGAAGACAAACATAAAGATGAATTCCAACCCTTAGATGTATCCAATCACTTGATAACTTTATGTAAGTGAAAGGCAGGCTCGTGCGTAGACGTTATAGTAGCAGACTTCTTCGATAAAGAAAAAACGTATTTTCATTCAATTTTGAAAGGGGCTTTTGACTTTGAGCAAATTCCATAAGCAGGTAGCACCGTCCTTCTAGTTCGTTGACTGATTGCGGAAGATACAGAACGAGAAAACAGATACATATATATATATATATAACAAATAGAGCGGGGGCATTTTTTTTCATTCCAGGTCTTTATGCCTAATATAGGCAAGTGTGAGAAGCACCATTGTCCCGCCGAACAGCTGTGAGGTACCGTGTTTGCTGGGCCGTAGACTTGATAAGATGATCAACGAAGCAATCGATGTCAGAAAGTTGCCCAAGCACGTAGGAATCAGATGGATAGAATCCAATCATTAAACACTGATGACCGTAATCAAATGGAAATAATAATAAAGACGATAGTGATGGACAGTATTCAAGGAAAGATGTTGACAATGAAATATTGAACCAGTATAATCCAAAAAATATAGTTGCAGTACTGAACATAATAAATGACTCTTCCCTTTAGCTTGTCCTATCAGTGTTCAGTTTGCCGATGAGTTAGTAGAGGGATGAAGACTGTGTTAGGGATGAAACACGGAAATCGAGCAATCTCGTTAGTTCCTCGTCTGTTAATGTTGTACTAGAAAAAAAAAACTGTCATATGTCGCTCAGTGGCATGTTTGTGCTACATAGATCCCTCTGTACAGTGAACTGCAATAAGAAACTACTTGCACCCATTTTGCGTAAGAAGGGCGACCATGGTGTAGACCACGGTTGAATGTCATCTCTAGTATCTCCCAAAGTTGACCTTGAGGCTTTGATGGAGTAGCTCCTATTGCGTTTCAATGGGGAAAACGGAACAACATAAGGTTTGTGAAAGACAGTCTTTATGGCCTTTAATACTATCGTACCAGTTTCCATCTAGGCTTACGTACCTACTAGCCATTGACAAGAAGCAAATTTACAGGCCGGTTTGCAGATCCGAGAGTAGGCCAACACCGCGCAACGTGTCGGAGTAGAACCGTCATATGTACGCACCAACGTGGGCGAATCGGCGCATTTGCCGCATGTATGTCCGTTGTAACCTGCTCGAAATGATGGACTCGCGTAAAACGGAACAGAATGAGATAAGCTTTTGAATTCGAGTTGCTGGACCCAGCTGGTGTTATCTACTATCGTTGCCGTTGTTTATCTCGTTCAGTGTGTGCGGAACGTTATCCCTCGCCTTTTCAAATTTTCGTCTGAGGGAGAATTTCTGGCTTACTTGACGGTCGGGATAATCGTCGCGCTGCTTCCAAGGATATTACGCAAACAAGTAGCGGAGCGTCATATTGTTTTATAGAAGTTCAGTGTTGTCGCTAACGCTTTGACTGGTTCGTGATCGACTAAAGGAATAGCGTGATGTCGTCGGTGATTCAACTCGGGATCTCCGTCGTGGCCGCTTCAATCACAGAAGTGCGTAAGCGGGCAAAGATGTAAGCGCTAACGAGGTGGACAGTTTCACGTTAGCTAAAATCTGTCCGGCCAATTCGCTTGTCGTTTTCGAGCAACCAAACCTGTATTACCAATTAGCCTTGCCGTTCGGTTGGCATTTATCCGTCTACCGAAGCCTCGGTAGCGTGGTATCAGGTGAGTCGGTTCAAAGCTTCTGCTGCCCGGCAGTAAGTATTGCTGGGCCACTTTGACAGTCACCTTTGAAAAAAGAGCGCGTAAAAAAGAACTAGCACGGTATTAGAGGAACTAGTTTAGGCGAAGCAATTCGCGGCCGTCGCTGTGATGTCGGCGAAAAGGCCTTTATGGAAAGAGAAAGGGAGAACGAAGGCTTATTTTTAGGGTGTGCCTCGAGAGGCACCTGAACAGAGGCCAAAGGCGATTAAAGGGGCAACGGAGGCTTAGGGAACGTGAAAACACATTGAAGAACTCTTAATATCATCGTTTATTAAACGGCAGTAAAGATTAACTCAGCCGGGAAAATCTGAAGGGGACGGGGGGGCTATTAAAGAAATCCATTTCTTGAAGACGCCCTCTCTCAAAACCACGCACACACACACTAAAGATGACTGATATAGACTGCACAACTAAGAAGTTATTAAATTACAAAACTACGAAACAACTGACTAGCTGCGTGAAGAGGATGATTTACTTCAATTACAAAGAAACTAAAGGCATCAGTGTGTGTGTAGACTTGTTCTCTTCTGTGCTGGATTACTTCTTTGAGTAAAAACCGAGCCGTGTTTACATCGTACGATAGGTTATTAAATACGGTACAGTTGAATAGCCATGCTCATTGCGGTTGATTTCCAATCCGAATTAGTCGGTGTGATGCTAAATACCTTTACAGCCGGTAGTAATCAACGCTTTCGGGAAATGGTGTCAAGTAAACACGGGACTGAGTAATGCAAGAAGTACATAGAATTAGCTGACGAAAAATCTTCATTTGAATGAAAGCCAATCCTGCTTACTTCAATGTTACGTTATATGTACTAGCTGTACGACACTCTATAAATACATTGTGTAGAGTAACAAGCATCAGCCCTCACGTCGGACAAAATTGAATCGAAATCCACATGTAAGTTATCTTTGTTTCAACTCCTATAGCATACAGAAGACTAAATAATTACGTGTTTTGAGGTTAATCAATAAAATTAAATGTTCAGTGAAAAATTGTTCGAATCGCAAAAATAAGATCAAATAATAATAGTGCGGGTCGTTTTGTCATTTACGCTGTTTGCTAACGCAACGACAAAAGCCGCATCATTAATATATATAAATGAGCAAGTGCGTACCGCCGTCCTGCGAATCTGAAGAAGAGCTGGCCGAGAAATGTACGAGCCGTCCGTTCTCTCTAACCAACACCTTTGCATAAACCGGAGCTGTGACGAAGTGCGGTAGGGTTCCGTGTAGTGTATGGTGCATAGGGTCAAGATCACAACAGCTTGCTGTCTTCGTACAAAGGAAGCTTGCTGAATCTTTAAATGCCGCCAATACGCTACCACCAGGCGTATCTTGTCCCCTTGCTTCCCTGATTTTACGTGAGCAATAGCAGGATCCACAGACGCAAATCTGTAAGAAAGAAATCTTGCGAAGAACCAGCTACCTGGCAGCGAAACGTAGCTGCGGTAATTCCTAAAATGGCTTACCTGCCACTTTTCCTTTACAGCCATGTTGTTCGTCGCAGGAGTTCGTGAGGGCAACTGCTGACCATCCAGCTGAAGCAGTCGTGACATCACCGCTCTGAATTATTAGTCTAACGCTCAGGAGTGACCTAACGTTTAGATCATCGTTGACAATCGCACTCAGAAGGCTGGAAAAGTTTTCCCACAGATTTCTGTTTTTCGTTGATCTTATTAACAACCACACAACTGCACTTTGTGTTTTTCGCACCATAGCCTTAACTTTCTTCGTACTCGCGAGCTGTGGATGTACCTTTGTGGCGCAAAATACCGTACTTCTACTGTAAATCAAGATGGCCAGTAGAAATGTAACGCCTATTGAATTTAGTAGCAGTAATTAATCTGCTCCGTTTCGTAGATGACGTTATTTTCGCTAACCATATCAACAACATAAAGGAAATAACAGGTAGAGTTGATGTTTTTGCAAAACTGGTTTATACAAGGCTGCCTTTGCTTAACCAGGTATACATACATGATACATACTAGGCATCACACTCCTGTTATCCTACTAGTTTATACCCAACGTCTTTATGGGTAAGTCGAGTATTCTAGTCCCAGCAATTGCATAATGACAGGCAAGCGGATCTGCTGAGCAGTCACAAGGAACAGAAGTGATTTGAAACGACGCCCTAAACGCGGGGTTTGATCGACAGACACAAGCGGAGCGGCGAAGAAAAATGCGACACGGAAAACTCCGCATTTTAGCTAAGTCTGTTCGTCTCATTCCATTCTCATTTTCCCATGACTTATCCTTGGCTACGGTTGTTTATATTCGTGCGCCGACGTGTAGAGCCAGCATGCCATCGTTGTGGCTATGGCTGTATCGGCTACTCCGACGATAACTCACAAAGAGAAAAGGCATAAACGTAGGGCAGATGCTTTTAAAGAAAAGAAAAACAACAAAAAATCTCAACGTATAGTAGCTAGCTATGGATAGAACCTTGGTCTTGCTTAGCGGAGGATGGCAGCAACCTAAGGAAACAAAAAATAACCTGAGTTAGGGAGGACCTGCTGGAGCGTCTGGTCGTAAGTGGACAGTCGTGTCGACTCAGGTCTCCCCATTAGCCACGCTCCTCTGAGCGATTGCAGCGTCTAGTAGGGAACTTTCATGCTAGCACGGCAGGCCAACCTAAGAACTAATCCTTGAGCCAACGAAGAATGTCCACTAAATCCCCTGAGGCCTTAGGCGGGCAGCAAGGTGCGCGTGTAAGGTCCACGGCAGTAGTGGTTAGAGCATATCTTGGGATCTGTCACGTGATCACGGCGGGCCACGTTTTTACGCTTTTGTAAAATACTGGGACGGCACTCGACACTAGCTTCATTTAAGGCACGTATTACTTGTGTACGTTTATATAAAAACGTAAGTGTACAGCTCTAGAAGTCAACCAGAGTATGTTCTAAGAGGAACTATTACATTCCGTATGAAAAGCTCGAGATACCAGGTCGCCATTTTGACTCCAATGTACACATTTCATCCATTCTTGCCAATTTTTCAGAAAAATTTTTTCAAAAAAAGGAAAACAATTTATACATTTGCCGTTATCTCATATGTCTCAAAGAATGCACGATATCTCTCAAATACAAACTGATTCACCACTGTTACAGTGTGAGTAACCAAAGATTGTTCTAAACAGAATTTTTGTTTATAGGAAAAAGCGTTACTTTATTCATTCAGATTAGTGAAAGCGTGAACAGCGCGATATTTTTTAGTAGTTTACTGTTTCTATACTAAACAATTGTAGGACCTAAGAAGCCTCTAATAACAAAAATAAACATAAGATTTTACATACATAGTTTTCTCATAAATGGTTCCGAAACCACATAATATATGTTAACATGGTACAAGTCATCCACTACCAGAGCACCTCATATTCTTTTGTGGTCCGATTCTGAGCATCTGGAATGCCTAAACATCTTGATTCGAAGGTACTACCTAGGCCTAGCAAATAAAACTTCAATAATAATAATAATGGTTTTAGTCCTACACTGTGTTCGCTGTAAGACCGATATTCTTAATAAAGTCCTTCAGACATTTGAGAAGAGTCTAGAAACAGACCAATCAGATGATCCAATCATTTTACAATATTATCTTCGGCAAGGTTCGATAATTGTGTTACACACACATTGTTATCTGTTAGATGTTTCCTCTCACAGGTACAGGTCCTGTTGTTTGAATGTTCGATCAAAATATATAAGATCTAATCTATCTTGTATCAAGATATACCCAAGAGGCTTGATTCGAGATCTTACTTAGTGCTA